ATCTTGAGTACTTCTGCCTCCGCATGTTGCTGTTCCAGCAGATGTCGGAGGTTAAAGGTTCCCATAAGAACCGATGTCTGTGATGCATAGACTTCTTGAGCTGTTTAAATAAAACTTCATCTACCTCACCCTGATTGGAGGGTCAAGAGCAAAATCCCAGCATGATATCACCCTTACTTGCCTCTCCTCTGATCCTGACCCATAAGCTCTTAACCAACTTGTTGTCTGTGCTGTAGAAGAGCTTCATATATCTGAGCTGCTCCCTCACATAGAGGGCAGTCCCCTCTCTTCATCTTTCCTGCCTGTCTTTCCTGAAGAGCTTCTATCCATCCATCACAGTGCTTCAGTTGTGCAAGTAGTCTAACCATTTCTTGGTTATTTCCAACGTCACAGGTATGTAGCTGCATGCAGAGCTCTAGGTCCTGCTTGTTTCCCAGCCTGGGTGCCTTTATATACCTAGATTTATAGTGAGCCCTTTTCTGTTTCTGTGGGCCATTGTTTTATTTTTTTGAGGTCTCCCTTATAGCTGTTACCCTGTGCCCGTTGCATTCTACCCATGTTCACCACTTTCTCACTTGACTGTGCATTGTTGTTCCCTCTCCTGTTGTTCTTGGTTTAAAGCTCTGCTCACCAGGTTGGTCAACATCAAGGTAAAGATGCTTTTACCCCACTTTGTCAGGTGGATCCCATTTGCCCTAGCAGTCCTTGATGCTCAGGGAGGATGCTATGGCTGTAAAAGCCAAAACCTATTGTCATTACCAGCTGCACAAACAGTTTTCTGACCTGTAGAATGCATCCACTCCTTCCTGAGCCTTTCTCCTTCATTGGCAGGATTGAGGAGATGACACTTTGGTCCCCATGCCCTTGCCTTTTGTCCCCAGAGCCATGAGGTCAAGGTTTCACCCACCAATATCGCTGGTGCCCGTGTGGCTGAGCAGTAGGGAGTAATAGTCTGAGTGCCTGATGAGCCTTGGCAGTCTCTCTGCAACACCCTGGCAAGCAGCAAACCTCTCTAGATAGTAAAAGAGGATGGCAAACGGGGAGACCTCCATCTCCTGTAGGAGGGAGTCTCCCACCACCATCACTTCTTCCTCTTGGTGTGGATAGGTGGTTCAAGCTGCTCTGATGCTTACTCAGAGCTGCTAGGTCCTTGTCTGCCACACTGACCCATTCCGTAGTCACGGATCTGCAGGTAGAGAAGGAGCCTGCCTCCTGTTGCCCGAAGTCACAAGCTTCCAGCCTTCCTTATTTTGTAAGTCTCTGTTTCCCCACCCAGTGAGCGTAGACTCTGGCTTTCCACCTCCTTCTGTGCAGGTAGGGGTTTAGAATCTCGTCTCTGCAAAGTTGGTCTCAGAGGCAATGCCATCAGTCCCTGTCATCCTCCCTGAGGCGTTGTGATCTGCTGACCTCCTCCTGCAGCTCCTTAACATGGTGACACAACAGTGCACACCTCCTTTAGGCAAGGCTGTCACCTCTATCTGCCCCAGCCCTAGGGAGAGGTACCAGACACTCCTGGTGGTAGCCCTCTCCAGTCAGTGGTGGGGACAGTGCCCTGTGGCTTGTTACCCTCATTGTTGAGCACTTGCACACTGCCTTCAGCAGACGTTCTGGCACCTTTGTGTGGGCTGTACTCTAGGCCTGGCCGTTT